TATGAAAGAAAACATTTTCACATTCAACCTGCTCAAAGCTAGAAAGCTAACAGCCATTAAACGCATCTTGAGTTCAATCTAAAGGTCTATTGTACTACTTTTGTGTTGACAGTTCATATGAAATTTTCTGCTTATGAAATTATGATCCTGTACAGGTTTTCAAGTACAGCAAGCACTGTAGAGTGTGTGACAAATGTGTTGACCGTTTTGATCATCACTGCAGGGTATGAGAGGTCTTCTTTGTTGGGAATTTTTCATTTTTATTTTATCATCCTCGTGCTCATTTTCTACTGGACTTTTGCAGTGGCTTAACAACTGTGTAGGCAAGAAGAACTACGGACAGTTTTTCACCCTTATGGTTTCTGCTCTCCTCCTGGTAAGCCCAAGCTTCCACATTCTTCCTTACCTGGAATCTTCAGATGGTCAGACTGCATCAATACCCTGTAATCCCTGGTCTATAAATGAAGGCTTATAGGATTTTCCATATCTTAATTCTTAATTTTTTTCCATTCTTCCTTATGCAAGTGCCTTTGATCCCTATCATCCTGAATCCAGACAGTGTCGTTGCCTATAATTCTGATAATTTGTCCATGCATGAACAGTATGTTTTGAAAACAATTTCAGATGAGTCCAAGACAGTTGGGATATATATATATATATTTTCTTGAGTCCGCTGGTTGCTGTGCATTATTGCTCGATTGTCACTGATTGTGCTTAAATAGTTTCCCTATCATGTCTGAGATTCTTGTCAAACAAGTTTTCACATCCTATCCTGATTCCCACAAGCAAACTCCCATTACTGAAGATTTCCCAGAGTAAGCCCTTCATTTTCAAGTCATTTTCGATGTAATTGACTATTGACAGGTATATACATGGTTTGTATACCTTGGGCTTGAGATTGCAGCTTATTCTACAATGGTCGACTGGAATCCTTGTACTTATCTGCTGTTTTCTTGAACGGAAGCGATTCGCTGTGGACATCTCTGCCAAGCTGGGAAGCAGTTTCTCTTTGGCCCCCTTTGTTATCGTGGTGGTGAGTGCTATTGATGTTTTGCTCTCAGAGTAACCCAACCTTTTCTTGGGTAATCAATTTTTTTTTCTTTAATGCTGTTTAAACATTTGCAAAGTTGCAAACCTGTTAGCTAAAAATGTAGAGAATTTATTGTTATATGTACTTCCTCATTTCTCTGCGCTAAACTAAAAGAATGTGTATATTCTTGCAGTCAGTGTGTACCATTTTGGCAATGATTGCCACCTTACCTCTTGCCCAACTTTTCTTCTTTCATATCCTTCTTGTAAAAAAGGTAATGATGCCGATCATTTCTTTCTTCAAATTGTGCTTACTATTGTTTAATTATTCAATTGAGTAATATTTAATCTTTAAGAGTTTTTTTTTTTTGCTTTCATAATATCTGGGCAGGCAAGAGCTTCATTTTTTTTTTGTTACTATTTTTTTGATCACATTCGGTTTCATTCCAAATAATTATTACTTAGCCGATATCACAAAATTCCTGTACATGTCATAGGGAATCAGCACTTATGATTACATAATAGCTCTAAGGGATCAGGAACAAGAGCAACAGGGCGTTGAAGGTCAGCAGAGTGTTCAAATGTCTCCTGCCAGCTCACTCACTGGATTAAGCAGTGCAAGCTCATTTTCTACTTTTCACCGGGGTGCTTGGTGCACACCACCTCGTCTTTTTCTGGAAGATCAGGTACTTTTTACCAATCCATTCTTCTACTGGGCATGCTTGTGCAATTGTGAATCCGTGAATTGTAAGAGGAACAATAACTTTGGCGTTCGCAGTTCAGTTGATTAATGATAGTTTTAGTTAACGGATTTTACAAGATTTTAATAGCGTGTGTAGCACTTGCACATACAACCTCTGTTCAAGTGCATAATTCACTTTATCTTTTGAGCTAATAGGCTGAGCAGTCGCTATATTGTGTTATTTTTAAGATTTTCTCTGTTCTATTTTCTGAATGCCTCGCACTCAGGCATGCGCACAAGTTAAAAAGCACTGCTAAATTTCTTGATGCTACGGCAATTTTCTTTTTCTTTCAGTTTGATGTTGTTCCTCCAGAGACTGGATCTGTTAGCTCATTAGGAAAGAAGTCTATGAGAGAAGAACCAATCAAGAAAAAGAACCCCGCCACAGTAAAGATCAGTCCTTGGACATTGGCCAGATTAAAAGCCGAAGAAGTTTCGAGAGCTGCAGCAGAGGCGAGGAAAAAATCCAAAATCCTGCAGCCTGTGACAAGACGGGAACCCCCTTTTGGGGGGCTAGACACAGATAGCAGCTTTGGCAGCAGTGGCCATCGGATGGTCCCAAGGATTGACAATAATAGAAGGAGAGCTAGTAAGCGAATACGCTTTCCAGTTGACCTACCCATGGAGTCTGTAACTAGGACTTCAGGTATAACTCCTGATAAAGGTTTCACTGAGACATCTACAAGCTTGGCTCCTCTTCAGCGTGAGGCCCGTAGTGCTTTCCAGACCAGCCGAGCAATGTCAAGCTCAGCTGGGGTTGCTGCTTCTTCTCCTGAAAGCAGTTTAGACTCCCCAGATATCCATCCTTTCCGGGTTTCCTCATTTGGAGCTGAAGAGTCCAGACGTCTCACAGGTCTATCTGTAGCTGGTGCTGTTTCTCACAATGCATTCCCACTTTCAAGGTCTACTAGTGATGGGTATGAAGCTTCTGGTGGAGAAGATAGTGACCGGGTTCCTTCCAGGATTGCTCAAAGGTCAGATAACTGGAGTAACCTTCTCTTCCATGCTGATCGGGACGAGGCTGTATTTAGAATGAGAGCATCATCTTCATCCAGCCAGGCTAACAATAGAGAACTTTGACGATGACTCTTCTACGAAGTTCGGTTCCTTTTGATTTCTGTGGGGAGAAGTTCACCATTCTTTCATTTATGGGCTAACTACTTCAAGAACTGGCCACTTCGCCTATTGATATTGTGTTTGGCTTTGGATTCTGGAATCAAGGGCCTCGCTAGAAGACGACACTGCCTTAGAAAGGTTGTTGAACTTGCGTTCCTCTGAGCCGCAAGGAAGCTTTTTGCATGCACTCTCATTGCAACCGTGGATCTCTGGCTGTTGCTTTTGGTACAAAAAAATTGATCATGTGTTGTTTATAATGCTTGGATTGTATCCCCCTTGACGGGTTTGTTGGACTTTCAAGATGGTTTCTTTTGTAGATTTAACCTAACATCCACGAAGAGTACCTCTGTATTGTCTCTCCAGGTTCTGTCAGTGGAACCAACAGGAGGAAAGCTCGGGGATGCTACAAAGAAAATAAAAAAAATAAAAATGCAAAAGCAGCCCGAAGTCAAATGCTCTAATCCCTTTTCACTTCATTTTCTTCTATGCTGGTATGGTGTTCTTATTGAATTCCTGTTGGTTCAAGTGGAACCCAGAAATCACCAATAAATTATACAAAACACGTGGTGTGGGTAGTTCAGTGTAGTTTTTTGTACTGTTTACTCTCACAAATTATGGATCGGAATAGGTAACTTTTTTTAAAAAAAATTTATTTTGGTTCAGGTTTTTTTTTTATACACACACACAATTCAGCTCTGTTTAAGTTTAAATTAGAATTTCTTGAAAGTCTAAATTAGCATCTAATTATATATATATTTTTTGAAAGGAATGGTTGAGTTAAAAGATATGGACTAAAGTACAAAAAGCAGGTAAACTTGATGGTGTTTTAGAATTATTTGGAAAGTTTATTCAATTTCTTTATTTTTTATATCTACTAAGTAATAAGTTCCGATAATTTTAGTATTAAAATTATATAATCTGTTGTAAACAGTGCCAGTAATGGAAACTCGCTGCATCCAATTGCCGACTCATGAAGAACTATTTAGAACCCTTAAAATGTTTCTGTTTCACCAATTCTAAGTGGTGAGTGGAAGGGAATGCTCGAGAGTATTATAACAATTGTTTTTTAAAATTATTTTTGTTTAAAAATATATTTTTTTAAAACATTTGTTTTTGATATTTACACATTAAAACAGTTCAAAAACAAAAAAAAAATATTTTAATAAAAAACAAATTGAATCTTAATACTAAACAATCACAAAAACCATCATGACAGCTTCTTTGATAACAGAGATTCACCGGTGGAATGTGCCTTTGTAGCACTTTGTTTTTTTATATGTTTTTTTTTTATTTTAAAATATTTTTTGAAAAAAATTAATTTTTTAAATATTTTTTTGATTTCAAATTATTTTTCTGATGTTTTTATATTATTTTTTTATGTGTTGATATCCAAAATAAATTTAAAAAATTAAAAAAAATTATTTTAATATATTTTAAATAAAAATTATTTTTTAAAATAATCATTACTACATTAAAAAATATAACGTATCTTAATAAATAGAAAAGTAGCTTCCGAAATAGCATCAAGCCAGCCCAGATGGCTTTTCTTGTACATGCTGAAGGAACAAACAGGTTTTCATTTTGGATTCCCTCTAGAATTCAACGAAGTTGCACGCTGGAGTCAAAATCAAAGAACTAGATTGAAGATGGGGAAGAAAAGAAGAAGAGCAATATTGGTTTACGTGCAAGTGGCAGTTCGTCTTTCCTCTCAAGTTCACTTGAAATAAATTCTGAAGGCTACAAGCAGGCAAGTTCACTTGAAATAAATTCTGAAGGCTGTTAGATGCAACAATCGGACTGGAAGGCAAGCATTGCTGTTTGTCTTCAAAGGAGATGGAATGGCAGACCCTAATTGATGGATTTTACAATTAGAACGCAATTTGCTGGTCAAGCAAACCGCTCATCTTGTGACTATGAGCTGGTCAAGCAAGCCCCAACTGGATTGTAAAGTAGTGATTAGAGTTTTAGATTATACTTGACGTCGTCGGTCGATAGCTCCCAATGAAAGCAGAAAATTGTAGCTGCCTACATATGTTCGGTGGAAGTTCTAAGTTCTAGTATAAAAAAAAAGGAAATCTATTTAACTAACCAAAAGAAAAAAAAACAGAAGCTGTCTTGTTACCAGACATTTCCATAATCTAGGAGGAGTAACTCTGTTGAAATCTCGGCAAGCTTTGACTTTGTATGGAAATTTAGACAAAAATACTAGGCTCTGGACAGAAGCAGGGCAAATTTTCCAATAAAAAGGCAGGGGACTTCATCAGTAACTAATTGTACACGCACCACCTTTTCCAATTCAGATGCATCAAGAATTGGCAAATGATAGCAAGACATCTAAAGACTCAGTTTGAACATCAACTTCAGTCTGCAGCACACCAAAACCAGCATTCGGCATAACAGTAGATGCAATGATTGGCTAGAACATGCTACACGAACAAAAAAAAAACCACCAGCCTCTTTAATCGAATACAGGCCGGCCACAAGCAAAGAGTAGATGCAATGATTGGCTAGAACTGGCTCTGTCACTGTCAAGTTACAAGCAAACAGAAACCTAACAATGGTGATATAAATTCATTGGTATTTTGTAACGTGATGTACTCTCTTAAAAGTGTTTTTTAATTGCATATGTATTAAAATAATATGCTTTTTAATTATTTTTTTATATTAACACATGTCTGAAAATTTAATGATTTTCAGACAATTGAAAAACAAGTTTAACCGCGTTAATAAACACATTAGAAGCATCAAGAGTCACGAGGTAGTAGCAATTTGCAGACAAATGATGAACTACTCCAGTCACCGATTCTTCTTGATAACAATGCGGCCACCGCTTAGCCAATTTTACCAGAAACCACTTAAAATAAAAAATATAGTTAAAAAGTTTTAAGCCAAACCTTATTCCTTAATCGTGTTTATGATTTGACAATTCACTGATACATCTGAATCTCAGGAAATGATACACACTTTTTTTTAACTGTAGGTTTCTGACTAACTTACACATATTTTAATTAATTATCTAAAATTCTAAAATAAGTTTTTAATAAGTCGTTACAACTCATATATTATACATGCATCTTTTAAGTTCTTTAAGTTTAGGGTGCATTTATTTTACATATATTTTTATATTTGTGATGTAAAATACATAATAAGGTATTTAGTAACAGTAAAAATTATGTTTTATATTATGAAGTCCACTAGAAAATTAAGTTTTAAATGCAGTTTTGATGAAGTAAGTTTTATATATATTTTTAATTGAGTTTTGTAGAATATTATTTGTTTTTACATTTTAAAAATATTTTTTAAAAATTTAATAGTATTTTTTTTACTTCAAATTAATATTTTTTTAGTATTTTAGATCATTTTGATATGCTAATATTAAAAATAATTTTTTAAAAATAAAAATATATTATTTTAATATATTTTCAAGTAAAAATCATTTTAAAAAACAATCATAATTATACGACCATCAAATATTTTATACATATTTTTTACTATGCATAGACCTCAATTATATTTTTTTATTAAACATATATCTAAATAAAACTAATCACAACTAACCACACACACACACACATACACATATATATATATATATTTTTCCAAACTACAACCTCAAAAATTACTTTAAAAACAAACACTCTCTTGATGTAAAGCAATTTCAACCTGGTCTAACCACAACGGTCAAATTTCGGGTTATCTTTAACTGAACCACGTAGAGACTACAATCTGGAACTCTTTCTTGTATTGCGGTATTATTATGTTTCTCTATGGAGCCGTGAATTCACCAATTACACCTAAATTAGTATTCTCCCGAGCCACAGTATCTGAAGCAGCATGTGCAGCATCCAAAATGCACAAATTGCTCAATTAGAGTCCTGTCCAATATTTAGCCAAACCAAGTGTATGTAAAAAAGAGAGCAATAATAATCTTACTTCAGATTATGGTACACACAAGTTTCATTTCATTGCATTATCCACATAGAACCGAGTTCATGTACACAGGTACAAACTCTGTTAAACTAAGAAAAAAAAGGGAAAACCAAAAACATGTATAGCAAACAAAAGCCATTGCAAGGCCACTAACCTTGTCAACTATAGGTAACAGAAACGAAATGAGGGATCTTTCCATCATCAAAAGGCAAGCTGACATAGTCACCGGCAAACTCCTCAGCAATCTCCCAGACAAGCTCTCTGTGTACAGCCGTGCAATCCATGTAAAGAACAGTAAACGCCGCGATATTGTAAAGAAATAACATCGTTTGGAGAGCTGAAGGCACCAAAATTCGAACAACAAAAGGCCAAATCTTCCATGCACTATCGACCCAAATCTTCCATGCACTATCGATATTGCCATTATCCAAGTCTCCCCATGGAAATGAAATGGCAATAACAAACAAGCCAGGGAAAAAGGCCAAACATAAAAACAAAGACAAAGCCACTCCTTTCATTCCTTTTATTAGGAAGTTGCTCCTCTTCAATGGCTCAAGACCCCAAATTGATTCCGCAACCACTATCACCTGAGCTAAAACCCAATTCAACTGCAGATAAAACAAAACTAAGACCAGAAATACCCCAAGAATCAGGCAAAAGACTTGAAAAGAAGGTGAAGAGACATTAACTTCAAATCCAAGAAGCTGAATTCCATTCATAACCAAAAAAAAGAACAACGCAAAAAGGAGGACGACCCCCAAAAAGATAATTTCAGCAAAAGAGTTAGTTATCAAAAGGGGAAGGAAAGAAGTGAGAGAAGATTTGATTGAAGAGCAAAGCTTTACAGGTCTACCGTAGAATCCATGAATAACACTGTAGGTGATGGAGCCAGTAGCGAAAAGAGAGAAGGTGACGGAAAGGAGTACAAGGAGAAGGGAGAGGATAATGGTATTTGTAGTGAAAAGATTTGAGAGGTCATCTTGATAAAAAGTAGCGTGAGAAAGGAGGATTTTGGAGCGGAGAGTGGAGGATTGAGAGATGATGTTTTGGATGATGGGGTAGACAGAAAGAAGGAAAGAAAGAGGGAGGATAAAGAGAACAGAGAGAGCCAAGAAATGGCGGGAGTGGGCGTTTGTTATACGTTGTGTTTCTGATAAGACAGAGCAAAGGTCAGCGGCCGCTGTTGATCCCATGGTGGATTTTGGGTTGATCGAGAGGGTGGAAGAAGTGGTGGTGGTGGTGGTGGTCTTGTTTTTGTTCTACTTGATGGAAGTGACGGGGTTGTTCTTTTTTTATTTCTTGTGTATGAAATGATAGGAAGTTATCTCGGGTCGTTTGATTGTATCGCCGCCATGGATAAAGGCAGTCATTTCATCAGTTTTCTTATGAAAAAATCAATTAAATTTATCTTATTTGCGTAATTTAATATAAATAAATTTTACTCTGAAGTCATGGGAGTTTGGTTTACGAGCTCCAATGTCGAGCATTTACACCGGAGAAGTGGGGGTTGGCTTCGACCCAGTATGATCCAAACCATTTGATCACCATTTTTTTCTTCGGTTTGTGATTGTGACCAAAACCTAAAACCAATCAGTTAGATTGGCGCAAGGGTGGCGCGCAAGCAGGTTTGAAGATGTTCTGGTGAATTGGTATGTTTCAAAGACGAAATTTCTTCGGGCATGGACTTTTTAGAACAATTTAATGAGATATCTTTAAATTTATACGAACTGGATGATACTTTGTTACGTGTTATACCATATTAACGGTGGAGTTTCTCAGTTACCTAGTACTAATATAAAGGAAGACCATTCCTATGATTCTTTGTAAAAATAAAAACATTACAATTGTAGTCTCTTTAAATTATTTTTATAATAAAAAATACTTTGTTTTATGAAGTCATTATAGCACATATCCCAAATTTTATTAAATTTTTGTTTAGGGTAAGCTTAAGTTAAGAGGATATTAAGTTTCAATAATTAAAATGCTAGCTATTTTTTAATGTGGTTTTGTTTTAAAATATATTAAATTAATTTTTTTTAGTTTTTATAATTCATATTTGATATTAGCTCAAGCACATTAAAATAATTTAAAAAAATTAAAAAAATAATTTTTTATGAAAATAATCTTCAACCATAAAAACATAATTTATCAAACTCAAAAGTGTTTTTAAAACTTGCTCGAGCAGGGGCTGCGGTCAATTAAAAACTTTACCATATTGTTAATTTTTTTTTTGTTAGATGGTACCATCAATTAAGGATTCGTTAAATAATTTTTTGAAAACTATTTTTAAATAATTTTTTTATTATTAAAAAAATTAATAAAAAAAAATACTTTCCATTAAACACAGCTAACATATCCTTACGTTCGCAATTCTGGCTCGCTACTTAACACGAGTTGCATAAATAAGACATGATTATCACAATGATAAACAGAATCACAATGATATGATTCATGACTGCTTTTCTTTGATTATTTCCTTTGGTACGTCCATGGTTTTCTTTTTAAATTTATTATTTCTACCACTCGGACGTAACGCCCATCCAATCCAATAAAACTGTAGCTCGATAGGCTCTAATGGTAGCATTAACATCTTCAACTTCAAAGGAAAAAAACATATGCAAGCCCTCTACTGCTTCCCAGTCCCACATATCCACCCCACCATTCCATTCACGCCAATTATCCACCGACTTCTCCTTCGATACCAGAATCCTTCACAATTGTGAAATCCTCGTGAATTCCCTCCAAATCCAACAATCATTTTGCTAAGTTTCCAGGTTTTTTTCGCTATCTGATCCTCTCTTTTCCATGCTCCTCGTGTTGACCGTTAAAGCGAAATCAAGTTGTTGTTGTTTTTTTCTTTGCGTGTTACATTGCTGGGCAGATTTTTAACTTAAGATCCAATAGACTGACACATACACTGTGCATATATCGACATCAAGATGGAGGTTTCTAGTACAGCTTCTCCTAGAATGAGCTTGGATCAGCTACAAAAGGAGGGATCTGAAGAAACCCATTTGCAAAACTCTGAGCTCGAATCATCTGATTTTAGTGATAGGCATAATCATCAATTCCATTCAATGAGTGCGTTGGAGATCCTGAGAGAAACAGTGAGGATTCTCCGATGTAATTCATGGTCGTTTATGACGATTGCTGCTTTGCTTATTTGCCCAGTATCTGCCATTCTTTTGTCAAATGTATTGGTTGATCAGTCTATTGTTAAGAAATTGAGTATTAGGCTTTTGTTGGTTGCCAAATCCAGTGGACTCCCATTGAGGCCTTTTATCAAACAGTCGTGTCATCGTTTTTCCGAGATGGCTGTTTCGTCTGCCATGTGCTTCCCATTGTTTATTACCTTGTCTTTGTTGTCGAGAGCTGCGGTGGTTTATTCCGTAGATTGCACTTATTCGAAGAAAAATGTCGACGGTTCAAAGTTTTTGGTGATAATGAGTAAAAATTGGAGAAGGGTTGTTTCTACGTATTTGTGGTCGAGTTTGGTCATTGTTGGTTGTCTCACATTATTCTGTGTTCTTCTTTTAGCTGCCTGCAGTACATTTTCGGCAATTGGGTTTTGGCAAGAGTTAAATCTATATGCTGCAATAATAGCGGGGATAGCTTTCTCAGTTGTTTTTGCAAATGCGATTATTATTTGCAATACTGCTGTTGTGGTCTGTATGTTGGAAGATGTTTCAGGGCCGCAGGCACTGCTCCGGTCCAGTGTTTTAATTAGGGGACAGACTCAGGTGGGTCTTCTGATATTTCTTGGATCAACAATTGGGATGGCAATGATAGAAGGTTTGTTTGAGCATAGGGTGAAGACATTGAGTTATGGAGATGGGTCTTCCAGGATTTGGGAAGGTCCTCTTTTAGTTGTTATGTATTCATTTGTGGTGCTTATTGATTTGATGATGAGTGCAGTTTTCTACTATAGTTGCAGATCTTATAGTATGGAAACCTCGGATGGTGAGTGCCAGTCAATTTTAGAGACAGTCTCTGTTTCTGCTGAATCTGTGGGTACTCCATGATGTGATCATGTGAAATGATTACCATTGTAGAGTTTTCTCCAGTTAATGAAGGCAGGACTTGTGTGAGAAAATTATGGTTACGTTGCTATTCTCATTTTCTTACTACTTCTCATGGGAACTTTTCACTAGCCATTAGCATGCAAAGATTTCAGGCTGGTGCTTACCTCAGCTGATTATCTAGTTTTCTTTATAAATGTCACTTGAATGCAATATATCACTTTTTTAGTATTCTGCAGGAGATGAAACGAAATCAGAGCAGGCATGTGAAGTTTGATGGGTACAGTACCGTTGTGTAAAGATACAATCATTGGAGAACCTTTGAAATTGATAGCAACCTTTTCTTTTCATGTGGCGGAAATTCATTTCCTATTAAATTCTTCATCTCTTTTTTGAGTTAATTTTTGTCCTTTGCCTATGGTGTTTTCATTCATGGATGGTCAAATTTGTTTTTAAGTATTCAATTTCACTTATCAAACTGTTAATCAAAAGATTTACTACCTGTTATGGAACGTGAATTGGACTGGATATTTTGAGTTCTATAAATTAATCTGTTCATTGTATTGGATGGAGTTTGCCAGTTGTATGGATTCTTTTCCTCACAAGGACATTATGCATAAGTTTGAAATGTTGGAAGTGCCTGATGGACCAAATGAAATTTGATTATTCACCTGTGTCGGTTTGGGGTACAGTCCAGTCACTGGATATTATTTTGCTCAGAATTAATTTTGATTTCTTTTGACATTTTGATATGTAGCCAAGTTGTTGAGGAAGTGTATAATTTCATATATATTCTCTAAGCATTGTAGCACTGATACGGGCAGTCAGTGATATAATAATTCCGAGTCCTGATTCTCTCACTTTCAAGTCCTTTTGTAGCTGTTGTTACTCTTGTCGGTTGCTGGAAAACTCGGGGAAGGATTCGAAGTATACTTCTTAGGTTTTCTTTTATAATAATGGAATATCTTACCATCTTGAGATGCATGTTTGTAAGCAAAACATCTTTTAAACAGAAAATCACTAAGCTGGTAAGAAACACATCTTCAATTTGAAAGCCATTCTACGTGGTCATGAACAGCCTTGTGTTATTCATTTATTATTCGTGTAGTTTCACTGCCTCATTCACCAGAACTCTGAGAATTGCTCTTTATGCTGTGAACATCACCAAAATTTCTTCCAGCTGGAAGCAAGATGATTGAATTCAATAGGTCCCATTTCTTCTCGAATATCATTCAACATAACATCATTATAAGTATCAAAGCTATTTTGTTCTTGTTGAACATAAGCTGTTGCTCGTCCTGCATGGGGCTTTTGCTGAACATTTGGTTCTTTAACTCCTCGATCCTCGCTCTCAACAATAAGGAAGTCCACTTGAGTGTCACCGTCCCAAATTCTTATGCCCTTCAGATGATTTGTTGTTGTGTCAACTCTAAGAACCAAGTCTTTACTTCCAGGAATTTCACTGTTATTGTTGCACAACTTCACAGGTATTTCAGTGCTTGACCCGTCAGGGTCACTCTGGATGCCAACGCTTTGAGCATGCACTCACCTTTCCTGGATTTTTCTTCCCTGAAAACTAACGAAATATGTGAAACAAGTTGATTTCTTGCATCTAGATGGTCTATATACCAAAAGCTAGGAAAGTATACAATTTAGCTGGTAGCGAACTCTGATCTTGAATGTTGTAAGCCATACCCTCAAGATTGATTTGTTCTTGTTGAAGATAGGTTGACGCTCTTCTCCTTCTCGCCTGATAGTTTGTTGAAGTTCTTGAGAATTCACGTTAATGCTAGAAGGTCCTGGATCAGATAGTGCATGGTGCTTTAATTCATGTGTTTATTGAACACCTTTGTCATTCTTAGAGTTGCCTGCCATGCTTCTAGTGATATGGAAGTCTAGCAAAGCACAGCCATCGTCCAATCGTACATCCTTTAGTTGCTGCATCCAATGTTTTTATCTGCTTGGGAGTTTACTGGGAGGGGAGGGATTATTGGCTCTGGTATTTGACCCCTTCGACTCCCCTCTCAACATGTGTGTTACTTCGTTCCAGGATCCACAGGATGGGTCGAGTAAATTGGATGAACAGTTTTCTGATGTTTTGATTTGCTTTTCTTTCCCCGCAAAATATGAAGATGTAGTAGAGTGAAACCTTAGGAAAGGAAGACAAATAAAATGATTTAAGGAAAAAAGAAAAGGAAGATAAAATCACAATTTATACCGCAGCAGAATGGAAAACAGCAAAATGGCATCTCCGCAGCAACATAAAAAAATTGATTAGCATCCTCCCTTTATATAAACGAAAACAGAGCAGCAAAGAAAAAAAGGCTGCCCTGAGTCCCAGCAGCAGCAAGTATCCTTATTTCAAGTTTATATATATATATATCAGTTGTTACAGGTGCTGTACTTGGATTGCCTTGAAAAAACTTTACAATCCCTGCTTTCCTGTCGCAGCTGTGGCTAGGGGTAAGCACTATTACATTAAGATGGAAAGTGGGGTTATAATTGTTTTTAAAAAATATATATTTTATAAAAAATATTAAAATAATTTTTTATTTAAAAAAAATTATTTTTAATATTAGTATATTAAAAAAATAAAATAATACTAAAAATAATTTATTTAAAATAAAATAAATTTAAATTTTAACAAAAAAAATAGTTGAAACTTACTTCCGAATAGTGTGTTACAGAAAAAAAACTTGAATTATTGAAACCAACTTGGGTAAATAAATAATTTCTTAGAATATTTCGGGAATTACCCCATATATATACAAAGCAATCTGCACGCTAATTAATGTGGTTGATAATCGGCAAACATGTTTACAATTAATCATTAATTTTATAAGCCGTGGGGTCGGAAGCGATTTGGGTAAATAAATAACAATTTTGGGAGTAACAGGAGCCCGGCTCGAAACATCAAGCTCTTACCTGTTTGCGCTCTTTAAGATGCTTCATGTTTACGAAAAAATATATTTTTATATTTTTAAATCATTTTAACATGTTTGTATATATATAAAATATATTAAAGTGAGTCATTTTATTTTTTACGTTCGCTGCCGTGCTCTTTAAAACACATATTCCTTATGTTCATCGCTTTTTAGCTTGGCACCTAACTGATTGATCAACTATTTTCTATTTGATAGTAATGGTAATCACTAACAGCCCAATCTATCACATAATTCTTCTCTCTCTCTCTTCTTCTTCTTTTATAGTAACATGGGTGCTTGAAGTTGCTAACGCGGTTAGACTGTTCGACAAAATGTCTAAATGAAAAGTTTGCTTTGTTTCCAATTTGATTGAAATATGTGAGTTTTTTTGCTAATCAAATTAATACCTATGTCCTCTTTTTGACTGGAATTGTAAATGATGCTGCTGGTTTGCGTCAACTTTTATATTTTATGTGGAAGTTTATATAAGAAGAGTGACTTCTTTCAGAGGTCATTTAAAAGTTTGGCTATATTTTGTAACAGGGATAATGATGGATAGCAACATACAGGAAAAAGTTAATAAATTTGAGGAATTTGTTGATGGCCATTTGAAACCACAGCTTGTTCGCGCTATTGCTGAACGGTATATAAGTTTTTTTTATTTGTTTGTTTTGTTTAAATTATTACTACCACTTGCCTCTTTGTACCATTTTAGCAGCCGTGAACCAAAATGATAACAAATTATTTTTAAAGTTTTGGCTTGTCTAGGTGCTTTGTAATCTCAGACATAGGTTCCGCTACTGCTATTAAAATCTCAAAGCTTACGACTGTTTTAAGTGAGAAAGAATGCGAAAAGAAGCTTAAAAAAATTGATTCTATCTAACATCAAATGCTTAGGATGTCGCTTCTTTAATCTGGATCGAAAGTTGTCAAGTAGAAAGAGATTTATGATTTATGCCATGTTGAATGCTTATTGAGAATTTTTCATGCTCTTATTTTGCAGGGACAAGGTTTTTGAGCAACAAAAGATTTTGTATTCATTTCTTTTTGTTCATGTTTCTTTGGAGATTAAAAAGTGAGTAGCCAATAACCATTTGCTTATAACCAAAATTTCCTTGTGCATTGAAAGGAGGCCATTGGACATCGAGTGTCTTTCAAATGAATTTCGTAACTCAATTACTTATCCTAGTTAGCCCCATTATCTGCTTGACTCTTTACTTCTAGCTCAGATTTGCGAAGAACTTAGAGAAGAATCGTGTGTATTTGAGAATGTAGTAAAGATTGCGTTTTAAAATGTTTTTTTAGGAAATATATCAAAATAATAAATTTTTCTAATTTTAAAAAATTATTTTATATTAAAATAATTAAAACGATCTAAAAATATATATAAAAAATTTAAATAATTTTTTTTAAAAAACACCATTTTAATCGTGTTCTCAAACACTGCCTTAAAACTATGGTGAACCTTGGCTCCGAATTGTACATGCAAGCTGATGTATAAGTGCTTGTTGCCTTGAGTACTCTAGTACCTTTCAATAGCTATATCGATATTCTCCTTCTTTGAACTCCATGTAGTATTTACATATCAGGCCAGATACCCCCCGCATATTTGTGGATGTTGGACTTGGATTCCAAGTGGAGTTTACCTGGAAGCTTTGAACGTCACAGCTCTAAGGGAGGAAAAGATAGCAAGGTATGCACTTTCTCTTTGGTTAATCATGTTAGGACATTCAAGCATTCAAATACATATCAATTTACGTGATTCAGCAACTTGTCTACTTCATGGAGCTACTGGTTTATATTAATCAAGCTCAAAAGCAATGCAAACAACAAAACAAGGAGGAGGAGAAAAACTTCTCTACTCAACTCAACTCTCATTCTAATCTCTTTTTGTGTTTCTCTCTATTTCGTGTGATGCTTAACTATCAATGGCACCCTCTATTTATAACTGATATGGGAGACAATTTTCGTGTGATGCTCAGCTATCAATGACACCTCTATTTATAATTGATATGGTAGACAATCTTCTTCCTTTGTCAATTATGATAGGCACCATTTTTCTTTGTTTAGCCACCTACCATTGACTCTTGCATTGCTGCCACCTACTATTTGTGTCCATACATAACAAATCAAAGCTCTGTTTAAAGTTTTATGCCCGTAGAAACAGGTTGCAAAGATAGAAACTTAGGGCCATTTGTTTTTGCATAAAATATCTTTTAGGAAAATGATCATATACAATATTTTAAAGTCAACCTAGAAACTTAGACAATCATTTTATCTCATAAAATTCTGTAAATTATTTCATGAATAATAAGCAACTCATGATTTCTTACCTTTATTATCATTCAACTATTTTAAATATCACCCCACTCCCCACACCCCGCCACCCCATCAATGGCATCTCACCACCATCACTATCTCTCTTCCATTGTCATTTCCATCACCACCTTACTAGCATCATCATTCCACCACAACTTTGCCACCATCTTTCTGCCAAGAATCCATTACCATCAAATAATATTTCATGTCATTACTTGCTGAACTTCGAAAAACATGTTAAACATGTCATGGATGTAAAAATATTTTAAGTAAAACAAACACCCCTAAATAACAAGACAACTTGCTGATGTTAGGGTTGAAAAAAAAAGAAAAAGAAATCCTTGCTGGTTATTATCGCCATGTGCTATCTAGAAATGGTTCTTTTTATGACGAACCTCATTTGTCATTACATATCTAGTCCATGGGACTACCATAAAAAAAGAAAAGAAAAGAAAAGCTTGTTGTATAAGTCCTCTGGATTCCATTACGATAACTAAGAGCTGACATGAATTAAATCCTGTGTCATGACGAACCTTATTTGTCATTACATATTTAGTCCATAGGACTACCATGAAAAAAAGAGAAAAGCTTATTGTTCAAGTCCTCTGGATTCCATTAAGATAACTAAGAGATGACATGGATTAAATCCTGTGTTAATAGCGTAAATTGGGACCTCAAAGTGCCTCCGAGGCAGAAGTTGGTGGTGCTTGCCAGGTTATTCTTCTCTTTGAACATTTTGCTTGGCCACGGCTACAACTTATTGGCATTAATTCTGATGAACCCTTGGGCGGGGATACTGGAAAAGGGCTCTGTTTCATTGTGATATAATTATGCAAGTTCAATAATGGGATGAGATTGTAAGAGCTTAAAAGCTTTTGCATAACACATCTGCTTTTGCATCTTCCCTTGACTTCATTGTCCGTGCGTCTGTGTCTCTGTATCATCACTCTTGCCATTGTGTGTGGCTATATCATCACCTTTGCCATTTTCAAGTAGCGGGAATTTTTAGGGTGTTCTGTATTCATTCTCTATAAGAAAAGTGTGTTCTATCCAAACCTCAACGATTCCCTGAATTAATTTCTGCAGACAAACAGAGGAGTACACTTGCCTAATCGCAACAATTAAAGCAAGGATCAAGGTGGTTAGTATTCTTTAGTGATGGTTCATTTTGTTCTATGTTCTTGTTGTTTAAGAAAATAAAAAAGTCACTCCACTTTCTTTTCAAACATCCCAATGCCCCTAGGAAATGCTTTCAGCAGGTCCTTTTTCATCTTTCTGAAGCAGACAGGTTACTGTCCTTTGGTGACTCGTGAACCAAGGTGGGGCATAAACATTACATTAACTATACAACTGAAATGACTTGTGAACCGAGGGCTTTTCGGGTGTGAGTTTTAACCATACATGCCCATGCTCAAAGCACGTGCTGATATGTTTTCTAGCATTTCTTGATAGTTTTTTGGGGTTTGAGAACTATATCATTGGTTGCATGCAGGTTTGTGAGGGGATTCGGGAGTGATTCCAATTGCCAGCAGATAAGTCCTTACCAGAGCGTGTTTTTTAATATTTAAGAGATAAAAGTGTACTTCTACGACTTTCCCTTCTTTCATAATTAATACGGGGAAACTTTGATGGAGAGTGATGTCCAAGAAGGTGAAAAACAAAAGATTCTTTTTTGGGGATCTAGATGATAAGTTTGACCTGGTCGCTTCTCAGTTATTTTTCACCTCTGCAAGCTGTCCTTTCTGTAGTGTTGCTGATTTTACTTTTAACCGTTTTAACCGCTAACGTTTATTTACCAGCAGGAATGCTGTAAAAGCCATGTAACAATGGAGGAATACCCAGGAGTCACAGAACCATGTGGGCAGGAGTTGAATCTTTTAAAATGGTCTGTCGAAAATATTTTTTAGACAAAAGTGGACACCTGTTTTTCAACCATTTTTCATTGTGAATCAAACATTGAAAAATAAGTCAAAAGGAAAATCCAATCAACTTCTAAATACTGTCAATTTAAAAATATTTTAATTTTCATAATTTTTAATATTATCAATTCATAGCATCCACCAACATCATAATTTAACCACCATCATTTTCATCACCAGCTATCATTGTACTAGGAACACCATCATTATCAGTGTCATTACCTATCATCACTTAATTAACCACCAATTCATCATTATTTTTACTGCTATAATTCTCATTTTAATATAGTTATTATTTCGACAATAATCACTGTATCATTTACTATTATTATAACTATTATTATTGTATTGTTATTACATCCATTATTATTATTTTTATCATTATTTAAAAACTATTAATATTTATTTTGTAATACATCCAAACTTTAAAAAATAAATCAATCTTAAAAAAAAAATATTTTTCAAGGAAAAATATTTTATTAACATCCATGGTCTGGGTTTTTAAATATTTTTTAAGAAAAAATTGGCAAAGCAATTGTATCTTAACAGCGACTCGTAAGCTTGCTAGCACCCCTGAGCAAAGATCGTCTGCTACCACCTCTCATACTGCGCCAACCTAGTGATCGCCTATGCTAGCACCCCTGAGCAAAGATCGTCTGCGCCAACCTAGTGATCGCCTGTGGGCTAGCAGTGTGAGTTTTGTGGACTCCGAGGTTCACACGTGGAAAAGCCGGGCAATACAAATTTTGTACAGAATTTACAAGGAACCTGATATCCATTGCTTTTTAATGCAGGCACAGGCACAGGCAAAATCAAGCCCATCTGTATTGTTCAACTCAGGAGTCAGAACCTTTATCCTATCCTTTTAGGGCGGGTTAGGCATCATATATGTGCTCAAAAGAGAAAAAAAGTGAAAACATATATTTATATATAAATATTTTTCGGAAACACATTGACACTCTATTTTCTTTTTGAAGAACTAGAGTTAGAGAAAAAAATAAATTCAAGGGTTATGCTCGAATATAATTTCTTTTATTGACAAAATTGGAAAACCATTTTTTTAATTTTTTAAAATTTATACCGGTTTAAGAAACATATTTTAAAAATTCTTTGCCGTTTTTTTTACAATTTTTCATCATTTTTAAAAGAAATATAATATTTTTTCTCTTTTATATACAAGCACTTTTTAGTCATGATCATGTTATTTTTTCTCTTTTATATACAAGCACTTGTTAGTCATGATCATGTAAAAGTTTAAAAGTTTAAAGTTATATATTTTCTACATCTTTATATTCACTTAGTTTCATAAATTTTATTTTTATTACAAATATAGTATAAATATGTTTTTAGTTAACAATATAACTTCCTCATGGTAATTTTAATTTTTAATTTGAAAGAAACAAAATTAATATTCCACAATAAAATGATCACAAATATAAAATATTAAAATGAGTATTATAAATTATGGTTTTGATTCTTAGTGAAAAACATTTGTAATCTTGATGAGTTTTTACCACTCTGAGCAAATATTTTTCATATTTTTATTGAAAAAACTCCAAATAGAAAAAAGATAGTCATCTGAATTTTTTTTCCTTCCTGGCATGTGACTGGCAAACTGGTCCTTAGATTGATTCCCACCTGAAACAGGGTTTGTTTGTTAGGATGGATGCCAGTGGGAGAAGATGCCTCATCGTGAAAAGAAGCAACTCTGGGATTGGACAGCACGGAGGAGATGAATTCACTCGTAACCATCACCAAACAGCTGATGCCTACAGCGCTTAATTATTTCATGCATTGGGCAACAGTGGGTTCTGGGATGATTTAACCCATCGGGTCATTAACAGTGCGGTATAGTGAAAGCAACAAGCGCATCGCTGTCATTTTAAGAACTTTGATTGGACTGAACTGATGGGATGGGACCAATAAATGCAAGAAAATAACTTATCGTTTTATAGGCTGTTTTTACTACTGTTTATGTATTAATACTCTCCACGGCCGTGGCTGTGCGTGCTGTGTCTGTGATTAAAGGCTTGCTTTCGCCGACAAGAGGAATCAATTCACGGCCACTTCAGATATATTGAGGACATGCTTTTCTTTTTCTCTGCTGCGTAGCCACCCATGTACGTGGTTATATGACACTCTTTTATTTTGTTTAGCAGATCATATATATAATGCAGGCAGTTGGTCCACCCTTATCGAGCAAACTTTCCGATGATCAGCAGACAAATTGCACTAGCAAGAGTTTTGTTTAATGTCTACATGAATCCCAAGTGCTATGGTCAGCACAGCTTATTGATCATAATTAAGTCCCACCATTAACTTAAATATTCTACCTATTTTCTCAGGAGAGGAGCCTGCGTGTATACAGTACAAATTATTGCAGTACTTCAACAGGAATTTTACCAGTGCTTGGGCATTTCTGTGTGTGCGAAATCAGAATATTGATGACATGCACTGTTCATTTAGCTTAACGAGGACGAGAAACTTGCAGCTTCAGAACTAGATATACCAAATAATGAAACGGCTATATATGACCCGTTATAGCTCAGCTGATGATATATCACGTGGTTCTTTTTTGGGTAATTTTTTCCATGTCCAGAAGGGTATTCTGCAATTTCATACCTTTTCTTAGAATGAATGCGGAAAGAAGAAGAAGAAGAAAGAATGAACTGAATTAAGATCCAGGTTTTATATTTATCATAATCTATAAAATCAATGCCTTTTCTATCTGAAACAACAAAAAAAAAAAGGAGGAAAACTTGTTGAGGAATAAAATTACTATCATGAGCCTATAATTTGAGATAAAAAAACAAAAGTTTTTTCAAAGACAGTATTGTAAATTTATAAGGAATAAAATTACTATCATGAGCCTATATTTGAGATTAAAAAAAACGTTTTTTCAAAGACAGAATTGTAAATTTAGAGGTTGTGTTTGCTTCAGAAAATAGTTTTATAGTTTCCATCTCTAACTTTTTATTTATTTATCATAAGGATATTTCTCCATGAAAAAATGAAAAACGTATTTATTAGTTCATATTTTTTAAAATAGAAAACAAGAAAATTATTTAAATCATCTTAAAAATAATAAAAGAAATGAACATAAAAATTAGGTGAACCAAACACGGCCCGTATTTTATAAATATTTAATTCATGTACATAATTATTTAATATGAACATAAAAATTAGGTGAACCAAACATGGTCCTTATTTTATAAATATTTAATTTTTTTAATAGGATTGGAAAATTAAAAAAATACGAGTATCCAAAAAATAATTCTTGTTTTTAATTAAACATATTTTTTTAAAAAAAATATTGTGAAATTATTTTTAAAAAAAGCTAGAAACTTTTCTACACTAAAGAAAACTTTCCTTCGGGTCACTCTCCCTTGTCACAAACAAGATATTTTTTTTTTCGAGATTTGTGTTTTATTTTCTTCATCCTAACTAAAAAAAATGTTGGAATGATAAATTCATTTCAATAGATTTTAAAAAATATTCTGCCCGGTAAGGCTGTGACAGCGAGTGCCAGGCTTATCAGCCTTTACTCAACGAAGAAATAAAACGAGAACAAAAGAGAGCTGGTGCACGTGTCAGATTTTGTGTGGGACCATGCATAAGTGGTCCCGTAGTGGGGCTAGTCTTTTGCTGAGTTCTGTTCTGTAGGGCGCGCAGTCCCACTGCCAAGAGTATACTCTCTGATGAAAACAGAAGATATTGAAAAGATCAATGGCTGGCTGGTGCGTCATCAGATATTGTTTGTTTGTTTTACAGTGAAGGAGAGACAGGACCGATGAGACAAAAGGGAAACTCGAAAGACAGACTCCACTGTCTTTACTTCATGACCCATACTTATCTTTCCCTTTTCCCTGTCTCATGAGCTCACTATTGTCTCAATTCAATTGGGTTTGGGCTGGCTAATCCTGGCTGTTAAATGAGCTGGTTGGTTTTTATGGACCATTTCTTCTCTTTCAGGGTCCTACAACTGTCCTCTCTTTTGTTTTCCTTGGTATTTTATATCTGGTGTTTGTTTCTTTTAATTTCTCTGGCACATAACATGAAGGCTGCATGGGCTGTATTTTTTTTTTCCTTTGGTTCCTGATCAGGTGATCATCGTCACACATTTCCTGAAGTCTTTTAACCACTTCCATCCATCCAGATGTAATAATTAGTGTAAATCTTATAGTTAGCAAATATAATTCACCAATTTAATCTACTTTACATGAAAAAATTATTTTAATTCAAAAATTTAAATTATTACTTGAGATTTTAAGATATAATTTATATTATTTTCTAATATATTATTTTTTAATAAATCCTCTCAGTGAAAATTCTTTAAACTTAAAATTTGTATAGATTTATATTATTTTATATTTAATTTTTTATCAAATAAATAAAAATAATAAAATTTAAATTTAATATCATTTAATAGTCAAAACATATCAAATAAAAATAATAAAATTTGAACTTAAATCGTCAAAATATACCATATAAAATAACCATTTCAACTCAAAAATTTAAGTTTCAACTCAAAAATTTAAGTTGATAGTTGAAATCCCAACATATATTCATATTATTCTTTAACACCTGTTTGGTATCTTAAGGTATGAGTTTTGCGTCTTCGTGGAAAATAAGTAAAGATGAAGAATGGCGCTGTTTGTGCATGTCTCTGCCATTCAGACAACTTCCTGCGAAACAAGAACATGCGTCATAGTTCATTGACAAAGAAATGCACAACTCTTGGTTTCTTGTTTTGCTACGAGGAGGAGGTTCTTAACATCATGCAAGTTCTAAGCGTCGGCATCTAGCCAACTTAAGTGATAAATGGGCTGCGCTACATTTGGAGCTAGGTGCTGTTTGTATTGATGCCAGTCATTAATTGAAGAATTCATAGGCTTAGACAAAAATCAGCAGTAGAACATTAGCTTCTTTAAATTTTCACTGAGCTTTGGTAGAGGAGCTGCCTTTGGTGGGGCTGCTCTTGAGATTGTAGAAGCATTTCTCATGGAAGCCATGCACTCTGATCGCTCAAGGTAAAGTCTGCCTCTATATGCAGCCAAGTGAGCATAGTAAGCTGGAGGCACTAAAGAAACTGGCTTGGTGCACCTTACAAATGTGTAGCACAGATTGTAAACCAACTTCTGTAGTTCATCAGAAGTGAATTGGTTCTCATCCCACAGGACATGGTAATGTGTTGGCTTGCTTGTACCTTTCACTCCCCAATGGCTGCATAGATAGAAATCAAATTCCTTTGGATGTGTAATCACAGTGTCCACGACAGTCCCAGGGGGTATATTTTCGTCAGAAAACTGGTTCTGAGCTGAAGATGGATCAGTTTCATTCGGAAACAACCTTGTGTGATGTCTCTTCTGGACTACTGCAAAAGTAATGGGAGGTCTATAACCAGGGAATCTAGAACAAGCTTCTCTAATGGCTTGCAACTCCTCTTTAAGGACCTTATAAAATTGGGTTTCGCTTACCCCGTCCCTAAAGAATATAATTCTTTTGGGAAGTTCATTCAATTCTTGGTAAAAGTCGTATAGTAATTCTTTCACCATTTCACCAAGGTCTTGGATGATTTCTTGTCGATGTGTTTGCGACCTCATTCTTGAGACATACTTGTTTGCTGCAGGCCAGTTCATGCTACCAACCACAGCAGCAACAGATGGACTGATATCGTCGAGCGGGTGAGGATGAGTCACATCAGCTCCCATGAAGATCACAGGTTCATTGGAACGAAGGAGGCGAGGAATCTGAGAGGGTAAAGAATTGTATAAAGCAACTGTGCACCCACCAACTTTGGCATTGATCTTGAGAGCCAAATTAGCCAGAAATTGTGAGCTCAACTTGCCAAGATTTGAATACAAGCAGCATTGGGTGACGACACCAACACTTGTCTCTGCTATTCGCTTCAAATCTGCGTACCCTTTGTGTTTCTTCTCCATTACGCATATAATCAGCTGGAGATTGTTTGATGCGGCGCTGTGGATCTTCTTGAGTTTTGATTCCAGAAGGGAGACGTTATTTAGCACCTGAGTTGGCTCATATTGAGGTTTAATCATTGTGTTCTTGTTAAGGAAGATGCCTAATTGTTCACACCTTTGAGATAGCTGGTTTATGAATTTTGGAATGCTGGACTTCTGATCAAGGGTGCCTCCAAAACTTATCAGTGCCCACCTTTGGATTCTAGTTCCTTCAAAGACATGGCTATCCAGCAGGTTCCACTGGCAATCATGGCGAGAAGGAATGAGATCTCTTACATGGCCACCATCACCAAGTCTCAGTTTTGGAGGTTGAAGAATTCTGCCGCTCAATCGTGTCATTTCTCTTGAAATATGAAGTTTGAATTCTCTTCCCTGGCTTCCACTGTTAAGAAAAAGGTTTACAAAGTTAGAAACAAATGAGTGAAGCATCTAAAAAACCCAAAAGACCGAGTGAAAATATTAGTTTAAATGAACTTTCAAGAGACACAAGAAAAACTTTCGCTGGAGCATTCTTTTAGCACTTTTGGAATCACCTTGTTGGGCCAACAGATCCTCGCATGACTCCATCTATGATGGCTTTTCGTTCTTTTGGTCTTTGGCAGCCCATCTTAAGTATCCTTGCAGTCTGATCATCAGATAGCTTCCCGAGAAACTTCTGGCCTTCACAAATCATACAAAGTTCCATAGGAAGATAACATGGTTTGCTCCTACTAATCTGCAAGCATGGTAAGTTTCTGAATTGTATATCGTAGTTGTAGTGATCCTTGAAGTAATTCAGCAACCTCAGATTTTTTCCATCCCTGTCAGAAAACCAAAGATTTTCTGTCGCTTCCTCAGTTAGGCCATAAACCCGGTATCTCTGAACAGTTTCCCTGTGACAAACAAAGATCCTGATGTTCTTTAAGGCCTTCTCCACTTCTTTCCTTTCTTCACCAACGAAACTTCTTTTTTTCCTTTGAGGAAGGTCCCGAAGAAATTCTAGACGCTTTTGCAGGTAGTGAATTACTCCGATACTTTCATGAAAAGCAGTCACA